AAATTCGTCGTTGAGTGGGTAGAGATGACAAAGAGACACCGTTTCTCTTGCTGGTTACTTCTTATTTGAGATGAACTTTCCGGCCTTAAAGCACACAGACAATTATTGATGGAGATCCAGTCGAGTAGTGTGGCTGTGGATCAGGTGCTTAGTGGACACTGACACCAGCGAGGCCGGTTGCCGGTACCACAAGGTCCCGGATAAGCTCACACGAAACACTTTCTGAGCTGACAGATGGAGAAGTAATTCGAAGCGCTTCACTGGGATTTTATATAGGGGTCTCTGGGATGCATCATACATCAATAACAGAGCTTTGGGTGTCCTAGCCAAACCTGCCTGTTGTCCGATCTGCATCAAGGTGCGAACGCTGAAGATAACGAACTTAAATCGTACATGGTTGCAGGATAGTTGTGTCAGATGTCGGACTGGAGGAGGGCTTGACGGGAAAACTGGTTGGCGACTCAAAATGGTACAGATAGACTAGAAGTCCAAGCAATAGATAGTACATGGGTGAAGTTAAAGACAAGAACGAAAATGGTAATAACATAAAAATACATTACATGTGTAAAAACAACAAAAGTAATGTGATAACAATAGAATGAACAGTTAGTTATAGTGTTTTCAGTGTGGAAGGCTAGAATATTTTCAGAAAAGTTGGGTGAACGCTTCAAAATCTTCATTGTACGTTGTAATTTCATATCACATGTGAGAGTTGAGATGCTGCCCGGGCGCCCAGACCGAAGCAAGTGATTGTCTTATTGGACCAATCCCCGAGCCTTTAACTTTAAGTCTACTCCATAAGGCAGTGGAGCAACATTAGGAGCTGCATTCCCATGGTTGCCGGGGTCCAAAATAGGTTCATACCCCATTCCTTCCAACTGCAGCCTATGAACACCAGTGGTTTGGAATCAGGGTTTTCCAACTACCCTATTTGGAGCCTCAGTATCCACCAATCTGGTGGTGGGCACCGGTGTTCAAAGTATCCTACTATTGATTTTCGGTGTCATACGGGATCAAACCAGGAAGCCTAAATTTATCCAGTTACTCAAAGGGTTAACATTCTGCTTCAACTAGAACCGAGCATTTACGCAGGGATACGTGACACGTTTCCCAGTCACATCAGTCAATGGAATTCTATAGCTTAACTAATCAACTTACCTCCTCTACTTAACTTTTGCAATCATCACACCATGATCCATTTTGTTAGCCTGTAGCCCAGTAGCATAGATACGAAGTTCCAGATTGGTAGGTGAGTCAGTGCGTTCAACCGTTCTCTCAATTTTCAGACGAAGTATCGATGTACGTTAGTTCTGAATCAAAAATCTGAATTTTTGAGGTCAGAAACGTCCGAAGAATTCTCATACAGTTATGGTTTTTAAAGGAATTGGTATCACTCAAAAGAACTGTTGTACAACATATATACGTAAGCCAAGTTAACTGACGAATTTCAAGCAAAATAAATCTCTTGATAATCAGGAAGCAGTGTGACTTCCATAAGTACATCTATAACAGTACTAAATAAGAACAGATTGGAACCTCCGAGTAACTATTCAATGTTACCATCTTAGGGAGCAGCACCGAAGCCTAGACAGCTACGAGTATTTTAGTGAAGAATCTTTTGCTGGTTGATACAGTTGCTTGTTTCAGTAAAACTGACAAAATACATATCGTTTGATGGCATAAGTGTGGTGTTGGGTATTTATGAATGTAACGGAATGATCCAACTCGATGAAAGGTGGAGGTCTAATCGATACCCCTATGATCATTAAGAAAAGCCTATGCAGTTTTTTGGTTCAGCTCCTTAACTACGAGTAATCTTTTGGTAATCTTAAGCCCTAGTATATTACAAACTACTGCAGTTAAAAGTTTCCTGATGTTTATCACATACTTCCGTTATTTATTCATATAAATAAGATACATCTGCATTCAAAACCAAAATATAGTGCCAGACTTCTACATTCCAATCAACATTTCACTCAGTATCGTATCATCAATAATTCTGAACCGTCGTCCTTATATATTTCCGGAGACACGCTGCCCGGAACTGTTGTCCTTTCAAGATCCCCTACTGCTCTTTTAGGAATATTTAGGGGACCAGTCTCTAAGTCTTATAAGAATGCGGTTAGATTTGGGTAAATGTAGACCGAAGTCACCTGAAGTTCGAATGTACAAAGAGACTAGAATTTTGTCCTGCTCTGAATAGTAGCACCAAGATATATCAAATACAACTGCATCAACCGACGGAAACTAAAGAAATCCAGCTGTTCCAGAAATGTCTTTTGTTTATGCAGAAGTATTTCAACACCGACAATGTATAGAATCAGTAAGGTGGGTATCTACGTTTCTCTAAATCTCTGGAAGTTGTGTGCAAATTTCTCATCTCAACAGGCTTTTGAAACAACTTGAAATAAATGAACGAAGGATAATTATGAAGCATATTATCTAATTATGTTCAACATACATACTAATGTGTAAGGACTAAAATATTACATTAGACAATCCTGTTGACTTCTTTCACAATACATTTACGAACACCAGATAACAGTGACACACCATAACATGAAACCATTCACTTCAATGTACGTCGATCAACAAGAAAAAACATTTAACTGGAGAAAGTGAAATCTTAGAAATGCATCTAAACAAACGGGCCTTCATGTGACAAGATTTAGATACCATTTTTGAATCCATGAAGAACAATGCCAACAAGCTAGTTTTCAACCTCAAACATTTTTCAAAAGAAAAAATAACTCTGCTTGGAAATACACTTATCTTCAAGTGTACACAACTTATGCCAATAACGAATAAAAGTGGATGTCCGCAGAGGAAAACGAAAAAGCTATCGACAGGTTCATTTCAGATTAAAAATATAGTGTGACTTCACAGCTCTAAATGAATACAGTGGGAGATTATCTAGCAAATAAAAACTATGATAATAAAAACTACACCCGTTCAGAAGCAGACTTCAAATAGTTTAACCAGCGGATACACGTTGACCGGAGCGAGAATCATCATCATCATCATTATCAACATAGGACCAGGCATTACTGCGTAACGGTCCGAGTTGCCACACCTCATATCAGCACATCAAGTAGAAAGGTAGTGAGGTGAAGGATGAAGATAAGTGAATGCAGTCAAAAGAAATATAAAGTACGAGAAGAAAGGAAAGAGGAGTGACAAAATAGTGAGATTCGGTATAGCGTTGTTAAGATGAGGATAATGTGTGTATACATCTGCGCCACTGACTTCGGTTCTGAGCCATATCACCTAGGGTCTCCAACCACTGGTTCCTCTTGTCCCGTGGACCCCAACCACCGGAGCGAGAAAGATAGACCAAGTTAGTCCAACTGAATTATCTTTATGTTAAAATAGGCAACGGTTAACTGAACAGCAGCAACTCAGATCAGAATGAAACATTGAAAAGTCAACAGAATGACTAAATGCTAAGGGAGGCAATCTTACAAGAAGCGAACAGTCAGGGTGAATGGAACAAATCAAACATTCACATGCTGCTTATTTCCGAAAAAGCCACCCATAAATACTCATGGAAGATATAACCAGTTTACTGCCTCGTGAAGTAGTACTGAAGACGATTTCATACTGATTTCAAGAGCTTTACCTCCGGAAACTCGATCTTAAGGGGTAAGACACCACCCGAACAAATGTCAGCATGCCGTACAGAGACGGAAAAAAGCGATATATGGTGTAGCGTGATAACATAACCGTCAGACTAATCACACCTCATCGAAATGCATATTTTTTGTTAGTACGACTATCGTAAGATCATCCATATAACGAAGAATTCGTTCTTTCCTAAGCAACCAGTGGAACTCTACACATGACAAAGTAACATTACGAGTAGTACCTAATCCATTCTATGTATGTGCTAGGTTTTGAGGCACAATAATTTTGAAGGTTTATAAAGCTTTTAGCTTGCCCAGACCGAAGCAGGTGGAGCATCACTGAACCACGAACCTAGTGCTTTACAGTCAAATGGTTAAGCCACTACGGCACAATTCCAAATATTAGGAGATAAACAAAATAATGCTTAAGCAAGGGGATACATAGATTTGCTAGATAGTTTTTGAACTGTTTGACTATCTACTTATCCATAACCTGAAACTATTAACTGACAGTAAAAATGTTTGGTTGCTAATTTTCCGTTATTTAAGAATGGTGAGTTTATTAGACCTGTTTAGTCTCATAAAAAAGGCGGTTCACTAGTAGTACATAAGTCTATACTGATTTATTGAGTTATACTTGGTTTTGCCCCGTATACTATTAGAAATTCGAGCACATGTAAGTGATATGCCAGGCACAAAATGTTGCTTACAACTCAAACATAGGCGTTAACTATTTTTGCAAACTACATTAAGCTTAGCGAATTAAACATGAAGTCCGATAAGGTAGTGTCAATTCATTTCAACAACTTGAAAAAAAAAAGAAATTCTAAAATGAAATAGGACATACACTTCGAAGAATAATCTACCCTATAACAGTCTTATCCATTCTGCATCATACAGTTCTAGTTTCATGCGCAAATATGCAGATTTCAGCCAATACATACTTTCACGGGTCTATAAAGCCAGTGGACAGATAAATTAACATGGGAACTTGTTTAGAAGTATGCTGTTTCAAGCCGCTACACTTAACATCAGCAAGCGAAGAATAGCCGAGCTAAAAGGTGACATTCAAGATAGGCGTAGGGGGAAGAGAATTTTGAAGAACAAATGCCAGTGGAAATGATCGGATTCCGAAGCTCTCACAGATTAAATAAATACCCGCCATTTAAATGGCTTTCAGTCTCGACTGATTTGCCTACCTTGTCTCGTTAAGGTGAACCTAGTAAGGAACTATGTACATATATATATACATATGTAGTGCACTTACGAATAGCATGGATTTTAATCACCATATTTTCCATAGTTCTTACAAAATTGATGCTTTTAGTTAAAAAAAAAAATACGCTAGCATATGTTAGGAATGTTCTGATAACTCACTCCTCAGTCTTGACTATCAGTTCATGTTGACTGTTCGGGTCATACCTCTGAAAAGATTCCTGCAAATCAAAAATAATATCATCCATTGCTCAAAAGTGTTTCTAGCGTGGTTACGACCTTCAAACTTCAAACATGGAACTAATGTCCAATATCCAATATTGATAGTGCGAGCGTAGAAAACTGGTAGTTTTTGATCTCTCGCGTCTAGTTCTTAGGGCTTGGTTCCAGTTGTTCGGTTTACTCCTGCAGTGGACGAGGAAATCCCCTCTGCTTTCTTGCTTTTAGCTTCGGTGAGGTGGATGTTTTGTGGGTTAGTAGGTTGTAATTTGTAGAGTGATTAGGGAGCTACGGGTTGCTGGGAAGTTTAGAGAACTGCCATGACTCCTGTCTGTGTAGGTACCTGAAGAGAATAGTAAGGTAGTGGTAAAGGAATGAAGAGAGAATAAAGAAGAGAGTGAAGTAGCACCATAGAGACTCTGGGAGCTGGGTTAAGGCCGTATCGCTAACCATCCTTGCCTTTAAACAGGAGTTTACGTAGATAGCCACTCCCCCTCCTGCTCTATGTTCCCTGTCCCTGCGGAAGAGTTCCATGCCAGCAACACGCATCTCTTCGTCGGAGATGTCCGATGAGAGCCAGGATTCGGTGATGAATATGATGTCGAGTGCTGATGTTCACGCAGCGTCCTCATTTTGCTACCTTCCCTCTTAGCCCCCTAACGTTGCTGTACATACATATTAGAGTGTGCCTGATGAGAGGGGAGGTCTGGATGTGTATTTTCGCGGGATGAGCGCTTACGTGGTTGAATTTAGCCTCGCCAGTCCTCATAGGACTGGCATTGTTCCGTTTTTTGTGTTTTGTTCTTAACTTGGGTGGGGGCTGTAGCAGTGGTGGCTTCTTTACTTGATGTATCTAACTCACTGGTCAGCGCCTGTGTGACGACCACTGACTCCAGAGGTCTTGGTGGTTGCCGTCTCTCCTCTTGCCTTGTGGGTCTAGGCTTACTTTCACATATACGTATTGAGCCACCCATGCGATCTTTCGCATTATACCATGCGTGCAGAACGTCTGTGAGGGAGGCATATGAGTCGAACTGGACGGCAAGTAGTCTGGGATTGGGTATGGTCTTCAGGTGCGCTGGCCTTGGCAGTCTACTGACGCTGTTGGCCGGTATACTGTTGAGACCAACTTTGGTTGAGAGCCATTGCCATTGTTGGACGTCGTGAAAGTACCGATCTTTGACCGAGCTGTCACTTGGCAATTCTGGAATCCCATGTACAACTATAGTGTTGTTTCTGTTGGGATTTCCAACCGCTGACTTTCTCTCCTCCTCTCTTATGACCATGGCTTGTCAGGCCTGGCCCGAATTTTACAGGCATTAACAACGTCCGGTTGTCGCGAGAGAGGAGTGTGTCTTCAGCCTCTTTGGCGGTATTTAGGGACACACGTAAAGGGGTGGCTTATCTCGGGGTGCATGGCTTCCTCGAGAAAGGCGACACAAAGTTGCAGGGAGGGGAGGGAGTCCCAGCATCTGACAGTAGTCGGTCCACATTCGGCTGTCAAATTGTTCCCTCTCGACCAACAATGAGTCTGTCGATACATCGACGTTGAACAAAATGATCGAGTTGGTCCTCCTGTGACCTGGGTTCGTTGTGGGTGGCACGCCCGACTTCCCAATGGGTTTGAGTAATTCCACTGGTTGTTTCTCAGTCACGGTGTGTGGGGTGTTCGGAATGGGTTTCGTAGAGGCTTCGGCGGTCGATGTCTTTGGCCATGCGCTTGACGTCCCCTGGGGCCGGGTAGGGGTATGGAGACTTGACCTAATATGGTCCCCACGCGAGGTGGCGTGCCCACAGCTGGAGCTCTAGGTCTGTTTCCAGGTCTCTCTGTGTTATCCTTTGGTGTTAACCCTACTTTTTCGAGGATGCTGGTAGCTTTTGCGTGGCGGAGAGCATCTCCTTCAGGCTTTCTGTGCGGAGTGCGGGCATTTTCCTGCACTCTGGACAGATGTACCAGAACCACTTGCATGGTTGTCTCTTCATCAGCTTATAGTATTGTCGGGGGACTTTGGTATCGCAGTGGCAATGCGCCCATCGTTGACATAGGTTGCATGCAAATGCCTCATCGACTACCGAAACAACTTTGGTGCAAACACTGCAGCCATCGGGTGTCGTAATACAGCCTTCCTTCCATGAATAAGGTGCTACGGATTGTGGCGAACTGCTTGTGGCTGCCTTGTTCTGAAGCCTTTTACGTCGTCTTCTATTTCAGGCATGGTATGATCCTTGCTCAAGATAGGACTAGTTTGTGACGGGCTAGTGCTACTCTGTGTCACCTGTCTGATGGCGACTGGAATTCTAGAAACATGGGTTGGCCACTTCTTCAGAAGTTCGGTGTTCTGCCCTACCTCTGTTTGTCTTCTAGTACAGACTAGTGTGTTGTTTAGGGTGTTACTGGCCGTTGTTGTGCACGACCGCGTTATCCGTGTCAAAGCTTCAGACCTAGCGTTTTGGGCAGACATGTCGCTATGATATAAACTTCTTGGGAAAACAAGTAGTTAACAACAATAAGAGGGTTGAAGACTGAATGCAGCAAAAGGACAGAATAGAAAAGGGAAGATAATTTATGTTGGCTCACCTTCAGACACTTGTCACTTGATCCTCTGCTCTTGACCAACGAGTTTAACCGTAAGCTCCAGATGCGTATGTATAACCAGGAAAGATATTTCCTGGGGAATGACCTCCGAGGAGAACCGAGAGCTAAGGCAGTTTGGCAGTTGAAACGCCCAAGAACCACTGACAGGAGGTAGACCGGTTGGTTCAAAGGAATAATAATGCCAATTTTCAACTGTTGAGGGGTGAGGTGCGTGGACGGACAGAAGTGCTGCAAACGTTCGATGTTTTTAGATTGAGTATTGCAAGTGGGAGTTTTTCATTGTGGAAAAATCCAAAAGCTGAAAGACGAGCGGAACAAGTCACTATTCAAGGAGCGCGCGAGTTATATTTATAGCCAGTTATATTTGTAGCCAAAAAGGTACAACATCCGGCAACAGCAGTGTGAGTAGAGGAAATTTGTAGTTTTTGAGCTGTCACTTCTACGTCATAAGTCTCAGTTTTTATCTTTCGGTTATCTCCTTTGGTGGTCTCAGAAGTCGTTTCAGTTAACCTGCTTATAGCCTTGGAGGTAGTGATTGTTTGTTCGAAGGTTTTCTTCTGAAAACTGTAGGTCGATTTGTTTGAAGGAGCGGAGGATCTGCTGACAGGATCAACTGATCTTTTTTACTTCATGTTTTCGTTAGCATCCAGTAGTAAGTATTAAAGGCAGCCATATCCCATAGGCAATAACTAACGGACACACTATCTTGAGTAAGCTGAATGCGCAGCGATCGTTTTCAGTATCAGATTCACATTTGTTGTTTAAGGATAAGAGGCCGGGAGCCTGTAGTAACTCCTTTTCGGTAGATTTCTGTGCCTGTCCAATCACTTTTTTGAACTGGCCAATTGATGATGCGGACACTATTTCTGGGAGTCGGTTCCAGGTTTTGATTACTCGACGGGAGAATTAGTACTCTGCGAAGACTGTGTTCGTTCTTTGCTTTTGTAGCTTCCCACTATGTCTTCTGAGGTATTCCAATCTAGTGGGATGGAAAACAGAAAATAGATCAGGTCCGAAGTCATTTCTTAGAATCCCGTATAGCATGATTAGGTCTACCCTCTGTCTGCGGTTCATCTCCTTAAGTCGATCTTCATAAGTGAGGCGGCCATTGCAGGGATCATGCGGCTGCCTGCCCTCTGTACTCCCTCTAGGAGGTCTGCGTCACATTTCAGGAAGGGATTAGCCGCCTGTGTGCAGTTTTCTAACTTAGACCTAACTAAAAATGTGCATAAGATGGTGAACATGTCACCGCTTATTCTCGTAAACCTCCTATGTAATGCCCAAAGTTTCCTTAAACTCTGAGATGCTACCAATTGACATTGTACCTTGGTTTTCACGTCACAACTCCCTATGACCTCTAGGTCGCTGTGGGTCAGTACTGACGGCAGAGGAGTCCCATCAATATCGTAGGCGTTGCTGTGTGCACCCCAAGGGCATGCTCACACAACTGCCTCCATCGATAGACATCAGCCATTTCCCTGACCAGGTAAACAAGCTGCTTACGTCTGCCTGAAGCGCACGTATATCATCATCGTCCCTTATTTCCCGTCAGAGTCTAACATCATCAAAGCAAAGAGCCACAGGGGATCTCTTGATATTTGGCAGCCTATTTACGTATGGGGACCCAGGACTGCGTTGCGGCACTCCAATCTACCGACTATCAAGAAGAGGGCTGAGAATTGATCCTAACCCTTTCTTTGTCCGCTGCCAACGGGGAACTTTCTTATCCATCCAAGCAGACTGTCAGTCGTTCCAAATCATCCCATTTACACGAAAAACCTGCAATGAGGTATCTTGTCGAATCCCTTACCAAAGTTTATGAAATGGCGTCTACAGGTATCCTATCATCTTTATACCTGGCACAGTATCTTTCTATGGGCTTGTGTGGAACAGCAATTTTTTTCGCGCTCGCCTCTAGGTCTTACGGAACGGTTCCAGGTCTCTGGTGGATTCCGTTACAGCAGGTCTACCCACCCGCCCGCTTTATCCTGACCGGCAATCAGGTGTTGAGCAAATTTTCAGGGCCCTCCTGACTTGTCCTGGACTGTGGTGCAGATAGGTTCTCCAAGTATTGTGTCACCAGGCAGTTGATTGAAATGGTTGTAAAAAGAAGACGGGAAAAACAGAAGTATATCCAAAAGAAACGAGGGAGAAAAGGTGAGAATTAACAACTCGAAGCGAAGCGGGACGAAAGGAGAGGAGAGAGGTAGTTAAGTTCGGGGAAGACGGGAAAATGAACCGTGGTGGCTGGTTCTTAATGGAGTCTGAATGGGAATATGATAATGAAAAGAGTAGTAGGAACAGAGGCAGTAAGGCCACTGGTTGTTTATTGTAACTGGAGGGGAGGCAAGATAGTACGAGGGTGGACGGAGTTCGCGATGACAGGGATTTTAGAACAGTTTCGGTGTAGGGCTGAATGTGCCGGATTGTGTAGAATCAGTAGATTATATGAACCAAATCCATATCCCCGCTGGATCAGCATA